TAATAAATTAGTTAAATTATTGATTAACTGGTTAATTGGATGAATGAATAAATGATGGTGGATATTTGAATTGATAAAAGGGTGGATTGAACGGATGGATGAATAAACAAAAGCATTAATTCAAGGATGAACAAATGTATAAATTGATGAATGCATGAATGAATGCATGAATGAATGAATAAATAAATAAACAAATGTATGAATGAATTACAATATAAAAAAAATGAATAAATCAAACAGCACATAAACCAACCGACAAATAAATAAATAGAAAGATACATTAATGAAAGAACAAGCAAACAAACAGACAAACAAACAAACATGCAAACAAACAAGCAAACGTGCAAACAAACAGACAGGCAAACAGACACAGAGAGACAAACTGACATGAAGACAGAGTCCTTCTCGACGACACACGCAGGCTCGTTGAAAGGGAAGTTGTATATTAGGTGGTTGAGATATTTAAACAGCAGTGATATATTCTTATTCTCCTTCGACGATGTGTAAAATAAAGAGGCCCCAACTGAAAGGAAGAAAGAAAGTATGAAAGAATGAATGAATGCATGATGGCATGAATGAATGAAAGAAAAATAAATTAATGAACGAAAGATTGAATAAATGAATGAATGAACAAATGAGCAAAAGAAGAAATGAATGAAAGACTGAAAAAATGAGAGAGTGAAAAAGTAACAAGAGCATACATTTGAGACAGAATTTTCTGACATGCTGCTGTATAAAGTCCCAATGTTCCAGCTGATAATCATTATTCTTCTCCAACTCTGTCATGGCGTCACTCTGGTATCATTGTTCATCTTTCTTATCATCATTGTTAATGCAAATGATGATGTTGCCATTCCATCATCATGACATCACCAAACAAACCTTAGTTAAGACGACAACAATCGGTAAGCCCAAATTTTCCGTTAGGATATTATCACCCAGTGGGAGAAGGATGACGTCTGAAATGTCGCTAACTGATTGGCCCCGCCTCGATTGGCTGGGGGCAGGCTGGCCCTCTTCTGGCTCTTGGTACTCTTGGAAGTGCCTGTATACTGTGGAGTGTAATTATGTGTAGATAGGTGTATGTATGAGTACTACACAGGTGTGTACATATATATGTGTAAGTCAAAACACACAACAACAGGAACACACACACACAAAAACCAACAAGCATCTTGTCTCTCTTTTCTATAATTTGGATCCAGTTTTAATCGCTGGACGTGGGTGGTTAGAACCTCCCCCCACCTCTGAAGGACGTCCATTATGTCCCAGGGTTTCTCCAAGGAGGCCACCAACAAGACAGTACAGTGTTCGAAAGACTGTTCAGTCAAGGCGAATTTGAGCAGCCCTCGATGGTGCAAATCTCCATCTAAAATCCAGGCACCCAATCTCGTTTGATCTTCAAGAAGGGAAGAAAGGATGAGGTCAAAAATTATTTTTAAAAACACTAATTATAAATAATATTTTGTAAATTATTTCTACAAACATAACATCATACAAGGACAATTTTAGAATTTCTTGTCAGAAGAAACATTTGGTAAGGATTAATAAATAAAATAACAAAAGATAATAGTCAAAATGCTTAACATGCTTAGTAAAAATAAGTTATAAATAATCTAAAGTAGCACACCACCTTCTCCATATTCGTCCTTGACATTGATGTACAAATACTCCAGAGCAGTCCCTTTCTTTGCCTCAGTCCCCTGACCTTTGGCTATCAACGTTGTCTTGCCTGATTCGTTATCTCCTAAAACTAAGAGCTGCTTTGAAGTGGGGAGTTTGTTTTGAGAACTGGCTAGGACCTCGCCTAATATGCTGACCCTAGTGCAGTGTTAGTGTTGTACTGTTAGGTTAAGTTAAGAAGATTAATATAAATTTTTTTTTATTAATAAAAATCTGTAATTTTAAAACTGTTGTGTAGTAAATGCCAATTCAACAAATCACAAGTGATTGTAATTTGAAATCTGAAGGCAGGTTAGTTCTCAGAAAGTTAGACGACTGCACACCAAAGTTTAAACTAGTTAAAAATTAAATTTAATTTAAACTAACCAGATTTTTATGTTTTATTATATTATAAAAATAAAAAATGAACCATAAGTTATCTTCAGTTTTTTCTTTGGGATTGAAATTATCCACGTTGCCATCTCGTCCTTTAGATAACTTTTCAAAACCGGGCATTTTAATTTTTTTAATATAATTTTTTATTATTTGAAAACAAATAAAATGGAAAGCGAGATTCCGAAACCAAGATTTCAGCTAACAAACCATCGCCATTAAAAATAAAAACAAACTATTAAAATAAATTGCAACTACTTCCGATTAAGAAATATGGAAGGCATAATTAAATTAAAAATTGTTGTATCTTTTAAATTTATCTGTTTAATATTAATAATAATTATTTAACATTTTATTGTAATGAAACACTTATATCTTATTATAAATTTTTAAATAAGAGTAAACAAAGCTTGGCTTTCCATATTAAATTCTATTGCATTTAACAAAATTCGATCGACTCGCGGATCCAACTTTTTTCCATCGAATATTCCATTCGTTGTATTTTGCCATTATGACCAGCTCCGATCAAGAACGCCGAACTTTTCTTCGTGAAAGATTCCTCCGAGTGTTGTCTCAACTAACGAACAAACAGGCCCAATTCGACCTCACTAACAAGCAGTCCGTGATTGGAACGTTTGGGGGAGCCGACATAGACGTCCTCCAATTTTACGTGAAAGACCTGCAGACGCCGATTGGCACACAAAGTCACGCACTAATCAGGGCCACAGACGTCGCGTGCATCACGTTTCTAGACTTCGACCAAGAGAAAGAACAAAAAACATGACTTCTTGAAAAACTATTTTTTTTATTATATTTAAAAATCAAATATTAATTTTATTTTTCTTTCCATTTTCAAAACTTTTTGTTCAATTTAGAGACAATGGCGTTGATCAGTTAATTTCTTTAGACTTCATCTTATTGGGCTTCTGATTCTGTAAAAATAACAAGAAATGTTTTGAGTTCATGTATTTATTTTTTTTTATTTAATTTAATTAGACTTATATACTTTTAATTTTTTCTACAATTCTCTTACATAATTTCAGGGTGACAGCAACACACATGTGAAAGTAACCACACAGTATTTGCAGGACTTATAAAGTTATAAAAAAAAGCATTATAAATAATAAATGATTTTTATTTAAAAAAGTTTGCTATTTGTTAAAGAAGAGTCTAAAAAATTGTTATTTCTCACTGATCGGTTTGCCATCTCTCCAATGGATAGCCCTGATGAGACCTTCATCTCTTTTCATGGCTTCAGCCTGTTGTTCTGGCTTCAAACACCTCCTCACGATTCGAGCACATATTCTTGAAAACTGGATGTAACTGTTGAATAAAATAAAGAAAATGTAAAATAAAATTAAAATGAAAAAGTTTTGAAAAGTGGAAAAAACATATGTAAATAATTTTTTTTAATAATATAATTATAAATAATTCTAATGATAAAAAGCCTGATGAATTGTATTGTTTTGGTTTTAGTTTTTAAGTCTTAACTTTCAGTTAATACAGTTTTGATTTAGTTTCACTTTTAGTTTTAGTTCGCCAGATGAGGACCAAATAAAGTAAAATTTAATCGTAAATAAGAAGTAATTAAGTAAGTAAGAGTTACTTGAGTCCTGCTTGCCTCCAACCGGACATTTCGCCAGCAACAGAAGAAAATTTTGATCGAAACTTTTTGAGCAACCCGAGAACAAACACAACGGTACCGAGAATAGCTTGATATATTGATCAAGAAAAAAATAACGTGAAATAAATATGGTACGCCAAACACGTTTTGTCCTAATAAACTTTATTTTTATACAGAATACACACATATAAAATACCCAATACGTAAATATATTAAACGCTACAAAATTACATCTATGTATGTGCATATAAAATATTTTATTTCTTTTTTAACGGTCTCTTCTGTTCTTCTGTCACTCCCACAAGTTTTTGAATAAAATTTTTTACCGATTGCAATATAATTTAAGAAATAAAAAAAACAACTCAACCACAAACTTCTTTATCTCATATCACCTCTAAATTAAACCATCTTTTAACGTAAATCAATAAAACATTATCGTTTATCAGTCAAAAGCATCTTTTCATCAAAAAATATCAATTTTTTTGTAAACACAGAAGTCATTACATTTTTCAATCAAAATATACACATATATACAAGAGGTCCACAAATGCAGGCTGAGAAATAGAATGTAATTAATATACAAGTAGGCTGAATGTAGAAAAACTCATCTTCAAGTTTTCAAATACGAAACTAAATACATGAATGAGATGTCTGAGAAGCATTAATCAATCAATCAATCAATCAATCAATCAATCAATCAATCAATCAATCCATCCATCCATCCATCCATCAATCAATCAATCGACTGATCAAATCGATCAATCAATTGATTAATCAATCAACCAATCGACTAATCGATCGATTGATTAATCAATAAATCCATTGATCAATCAATCAATCAGTTAATGATCTGATGAAATGTAGACGCTTTAATAACACAAAAAATTTTTAAAAATAAATTAAACACACTAACAATTTTGGTCGATAAAATACACACATATATACAAACATACATACAAAGATACACGCACACACACAAACACACCACACACACACACACACAAATGCTTTCAAATCCTTTTACTAAAATAAAAGTAGGTAATAATAGAATTAGGAATTCCCCAGTTGAGCTCCGCCTTCGCCTAAAAACTCATGACAAAGTAATGACTAAGAAGTAGTGAAAAAAAACCCAATGCCTGTCGACCTTGATGATAATCTATCTAGTCTTATTATGTATCTTCAGTTGATAGTCTTTGAATGAGCGAAAGTCTGGATCCAGAAGATACAAAACGAGGTATAGATGACAACAAGATCGCAGTATTTGTTCTCTTTTTCATCAAAAGTAGTAAAAATGAAGGATAGAAAGTAGCGGTAGTATGTTACAGCAGTCACAATGATGTGACGGAAATAAGAAATACCCTGGTAGAAACACAATTAAGAATTATTAGTGATCAGTAGGTAGCGATGCTATAAATAGAACTTAGTATATATATAGAAATTAGTAATTAGGGATTCCCGGGCATGGCCCCACCACCGCCTAAAAATCCCACTCCATATCCGTCGCCGTGATCCAGTGCTAGATTGTCCTCATGGGATAAACCCTGGAGTCTGATTTGTGGTTAATAATAGTGACATTAATATTATAATATTGTTATATTTATTATTATTATAACTTTTGCTGTTATTATTAATATAAATATTATTATAAATAATACCATCACACAAACAACTATAGAGAGCAAGACAGATATACACATATAAGCAAACAAGCCAACCGACCTATTAGCTAAAGCAACAACATTAGCAGCTGAAAGCAGCTGTTGTTGCTGGTCAGCTAACGATGGTAACGTAGGCGATGACGAAGCAATAGTAGCTGCCGCTGCTGCTACAAGCTGCTGTTGCTGGAACTGCTGGCGGTTGTACTCCAATAGGGCCGTTTCCTCTATGGGACACTCAAAGTGCACACAATGAAATACCTGTTTTCGTATATATGTGTATGCATTTATGTGTATATGTATGTGTGGGTGCATGCATGTATGTATGTGTGTGTATGTGTGTGTGTAAATGTGCGTCAATGCGTACACACGCACGTAAGAATACACATAAAACAACCAAAGAGAAACCTCGTTGGCGGTATTCTGCGTTCCGACAATCTTAATGAAGGTGACAACTTGATCCTTGAAGAACACGTACTGCCAGCTTCGGCACTGAATTCTCGTCCTGTCCACAACGCGAGTCCACGTCTGCTGGTCGTTCGAAACCTCGATGTAGTAGCTGTACGAGCGATTGTCGCAATCCCATAGCAGTAGCCTGTAGAGATGTGTGTCGTGTGTAGTTGGTGTTAGTGCGCGTTGTGTCCTGTATGTCTAAACGCTAGTCTGTGCGTTTTTTTGTTTGTGTGTGTGTGTGTGTTATTTATGTACGTGTGTGTGTGTGTCGTGTGGCTGTGTGTGTGTTTATGAACAGGTTAGTGTGGTTTTGTGTGCGTGAGTATGGCTTTGCCATCACCATCATCAATCTCAAAATCATCATTAACGATGTCAAAACCAACACCATCACTACCACATTCATCATAACAAACCTCATATTGTTGACGAGAAATGGCTGAGCCAGTTGCACGACTATAGCACCACTACCCAGCTGGTGACACGTGTATCCAGAATCCCAATCATAATCCACCATGTTCCCTGATTATAATTATAAACATATTATGATAGTTATGACTATGTAATTAGTATAATTACGACGATAACTGTCATAATTACGATAATAACTTTTGTGACATCAATAATAATGTTAATTTAAAGCAAAACTTCTACAACAAATGTAGCTACAAATTTATGCGAACTAAAAGTAAACCAAAGAACCGTTAATTAGGGCATTTCGACTTCTGCTTACTCCTTCTATCACCCAGGCTGCGTTGTCTATGGTGGCCATGTTCGTGTTTGGAACTGTTAATGGTGGCGTGATGGTTGGGAATTAAATGAATAAATGAATGAATAAATGAAAGAATGAATGAATCTGTCTGTCTGTCAATTCGTTCGTTTATTCGTTCATTTATTCATTCATTCACTCGATCAGTAATTAGTTCATTCGTTAATACATCTATCAGGTAATCAAATTATTTGGCAAACAATCAACCACCCAACCAATCAAAAAGTTAATCAATCATTCAACCGATCAAATAACAATTAACCAATCTAACAATCAACTAACAAGCCATGCATCCAACCAGCCAACCAATCAATCCACTAACCAATTAAACATTCATTTATTATTCATTTAACCAACTAGCAAACAAATCAACCAACAAACGAACCAATCAGTCGGCCAACCAACCAATTATTCAATCAATCAATCAATTAATCAATCAATCAACTAACCAATCAACCCGTCAACCAGACAGCAAGGAATAGGATTGTAAAAGCATTCAAAGGTGACCAAATGGAACACCTTGTTCACCGAGTTGTGAGTGCCCACAATGCGTATATACCTATAATTTATTTTAATATAGCAACATAATTAGCAATAATAATAATAATTATTATTATTATTATTATAACAATCAATCAACAATTATAACAAGTATATCAATAATAAATAAAAATTGATATTTGAAACTAATATTAATGACAACCTGACAACTTGTCGTTTGAACCTCAGGACTTGCTTGGATCTGCAGAGATATCTCCTCCTATCTACAATCATTCTCCATTCAATCTTATCCATTGAGGTCTCAATGTAGTAAGAATACGACCTGAAATAATTATTACAACTATAATTATCTCAAAAATTATTACAAACATAATTATTTCAACAATTATTACAGTCGTAATTTTTTCAATAATTATTAAAACAATAAAAGTTATTGTCTTTGCTGATATTATTTACAATTGAGACACTTTCCCTTGAGAAAAATAAAGACACTAAAGAATGCATCATTATCATCATCACTGTGATCATCATCGTCATCGTTGTCGTCATCACAATCATCACATTACAATCATCATCATCACATTACAATCATCATCATCATCATCATCCTCATCATCAACCTGGTATCTCTATCCCAAAGTAGCATCACAATGCTGTTTATGATACACGGATATCCCAGCTCTATGGTTATTCCTGTTAGGAAAATAACAACCATAATAACATCAGTAATAATAACAATAATAAAAATAACTATATTAATGTCAATAATTTAGCTTTTTTGCTGAATAAACTCATTATTGAATTGAATAACATCAATAATAATAATAATAATAATAATAATAATAATAATAATAATAATAATAATAATAATAACATTAATATCAAACCTTTAGGTTGATGCGGAAGTGTGTGCGTGCTGACATCCTCAATTGGATGAGTTGTGAAACCCTAGAAGCATAAATAAAACCAATCGATCAATCAATCATTCAATCAATCATTCATTCAATCATTTATTCATTCATTCATTCAATCAATCAATCAATCAAAAACATACACACATACATACAGATACTTACATATATACAAACAAACATACAAGCAAACTAATCACACACATATGCATAAACATCCATCCAAACAAATCCTTCCAACCATGAACTGAACACATAGAAAACCAGCAGAATACTAACTAGCTAGCAAACATAGTCACAAAAACAAACAAACATACTGCCAAACACAAACAAACATACACAAAAACAAACATAAACAAACCTACAAACAAACAAACACACACACACACACACAACACACCTGATCGAGATTGTACGTCACGTTGTTGTTGTCCAACAGTGGCGTCCTCATATCCCCCTCTATGACGTGTGCGTGGTGGTGCGAGCTCGCGACATTTTCCATCGCAACTATTGTCGGTTATGATAACGATGTTGTATTCCGTTATGGTGATGATTATGGTGGTGGTTATGATGATGATGATGATTATGATGATGTTGCTGACTGTGATAATCAGGACTACAATGACAATTTGATTACAATGACTATTATGATGTTGATGAAGATGACCCCCAAATAGCAAACCATCAGCAACCAGCCAATCAAGAGCCAGCCAATCAACAACCAACGAATCAATCAACAGCCTACTAACTAACCAACCAATCAACCAACCAGCTACAAAACAAGCCAATCAACTAACACAAAAATCCTCTGAAATTTAGATCGATGTTTCTACAGGAGTGTTGAATGTTGATAGCGTCGAGAATGTCATCGGAGCTGATGAACTTTGAAGGTCGCACAACGTTAAGTAATTCATCCAACGACATCAGGGGCAAACGAATTAATTGAGTCATCTTTGTCTTGTTGTTGTCTTGCCTGTTGCTGTCGTTGCTATCTTCAGTAATGTTACTGTCATCGATGTTGTTGACAACAATTGAGACATCATTATTAGTGTCATCATCGACATTTTGGTTGGCCGAAGTGGAAACAATTTGGCTTCCGCTGCTGTTGTTGCTGTTATTGTAAATGCTGTAATTTACGTTATCAATGCCAACTTCACTCTCGTAGACCCCAACAATAATTTCACCGACACCAACACCAACATTACTGTTACTCTCAATGTTATTCCTATTACCATGACTCTCCTCAACAATTCTAACATTACTATTACCACCACCACCACTACTACTACTATCATCACCACCAGTAGTAGCAGTAATAGTACTATTTTCATTGAGTGAGTCGATTAAGTTGTTAGCGACGGAGCTGACGATGTTGTTGTTGAAGTTGGTGTTGCTGATGTTATTGTGGTAGGCCCAGGCCTGCACCCCTCTGAAGATCTCCACCTCAGGGGCGAAGAACGAGTCGCGGACCAGGATGTACTCCAGTGACATCTGCGACAGATTAGTGCAGTAGTTGGTTGGATTTTTAATTTAACAAATACCAGCGTATGTATGCAATGTTTATATGCTACTACTTGTTATTACTAAGTGTTACTACCACTACCACCAAATGCTACTACTACCACTACTACTAACAACTATTACAACACACGATGTCAACAACAATGACAATAAACAACAGCAAACAACAATAGACAACAGATACTAACGGACGACAAATTTAGAAATCCCTCGGTTAGTAAAACCTCACTAGCCTTCCTATCGATGAACGTGCAACAAGTGTTAACTAGCTGGTCCAGATTGAACATCAGTGCCAAATCAAAGATACTGCATACGTTCGATACCGTTAAGATGACCTTGAGGTGATCAGAGATTGAGGACTTCAGCTTCATGAACTGGTAGAGGTTTGCTAAGCTCAGGATGTCTAAAACTGTTTCTTCCTATTATTTTTTTTAATTTTTTTACGTTTGAATTTTAAAATATTTAGACAGCTTTATATAATGAAGAAAAGTAAAAATAATACTAAAATAAAATTATAAACAATTAAATAATTAAAACAAATTGAGATAACTACCCAAAAAAAAACTCTAAATAACATGAAAACAACCTTCAGTCCTCTCAGTGAAATACAGCCAGTGTAAATGTACTTCAGTAGGTACTTGAATGCTTCAGAACTCGCACCTTTCAGCTCAATTTCACGCTGGTTGTTCTGAGACTCCCTTAGGCCTCCATACAGAAGGGCCCTGATGGTGTTAGCAAATTTGTTACAAGAAAAAGTACTTAATCTAATAATTTTAACTTTTATTACTTAATATTCTACATTTAATAAATAAAATATAAAAATGAGAAAATGCCTAACTCTTTGAACTTAAATGTTTTACCAAAATTTAATGAATACACTGACCAGTGTTTAGTTAGTAAATAAAAATTTAAGTTTTACTAGAAAAAGTTTGCAGTTGAGACCAAAATAAAAATATTACTGACCGAAAGAAATCAGATCTGGAGGCGAGGATAACTCTATGAACGTGAAACCTCTCACTTTCGACCAGTAACGTCAAATCACTGGAGATGTCGTTGTTGTTGTTGCTGGCCCCAGAGGAAACGCAATGACGAACGCTACTGGCGTTGGCGTCGAAACTATAGAGGGAGCCAATGTCAGCCGACAACAAATCCGTGTGTACGATATCCCACGTCTGCGCTTCTGCACCGCTGTTATTTGAATTAGTACAATTCAGCATGCCGTTGTTCGTAGCACCGTTTTGCTGTTGATGGCGGTCGCTCATTTTAATAAAAATGAACGTTTTTAAAATAACTTTTAGGAGTTAAAAATAAAAAAAAGGTTGAACGTAAAAAAGATGGCTCCTCGTCTGTTTAAAACTCAGCACTGCTCCAACACAAATTCCGACGTTATATATATATATATATATATATATATGCCCAGTCCGAAAAGTAAAAAGCAGCCATTGACCTAAAAATTATGTCAAGCGCTTTACATTATGTTACAATCAAGGGGAGGCCTATTTACCAGCATACAACAACACCTTCTTATGGGTTGAAGCAGGAATATGCAAAGAACCTCAATTTTTTCAACTTTTAATTATTTTCAGTAATGTCTTCCCTTGCTCCAAACCACATAACTAAAATAATAGGACTAATCAATCAATTCGATCTATCAGTCGGGCTATTTGTCGTGCATGGATTGTTGGCTTACGAAATTGCATGGATTTTAACGAGCAAGCTAAATGAAATATTTACTTGATTTAATATGCTTAAAACATTGTAGTAACTCTATTTAATTTTAATAATGATTAATAGAATTATGTATTATTAAATTATTTTTGTTAATTTGAATATAAAAATTGCTTTTGGTCCGGTGACATCCGGTGGCTTACTGAAGCCGAAGGTTGGCTTAGTAGGATTGAACTATAGTCACCCTTTTTTTTACACTATTCGATCATGTTAAAAATTGGTTTGCTTATGAAATAAACGGCCTAAATAAATCAAAATTGTTATTTGAACAACTATCTTCATTATATTCAATGAATATTTTACATTCTGCTGGTGCTCATAAGAAACTGGCTGCTGAAATCATACGTTGGCTTACAGCAGTGGCTTACAGGGTTTCATAGAACTTTTACGATAGCACTTTTTTGTACATATAATGCTTTAAATAAATCAATATATTCATATCACAATTATTTTTGTCAGTATAAATATAGAAATTGCTTTTGTCAGGTGAAAAACAGTGGCTTACTGAAGCCGTAGGTTGGCTTAATTGGATTTTTTCTCATGTATACAATACTATGAGATAAATCAATCAAACAATCCAACAATCAGTCAGTCGGTCGGTCGGTCAGTCAGCCAGCCAGCCAGTCTGTCAGTCAATCAATCAACCAACCGATCAATCAATCGATCAATCAATCAACTAAATTGAATGAACCAAATAAACAAAAATAAAAACAAAAATAAATATAAAAAAATTTGCAAGGCCTGTTCAAACTCGAACAAACAGTTAACCGTACAGATCTACAAACAATTTCAAGATTTTAGTAAAGAAAGAAAAACACAGTAGTGCTTTTATTTGAATTCATTCAAAAATGAAAAGTGACGGTTAATTAAAATTTTAAAATGTCAATTTTTTTTTAAATTCGTATTTTAAATAAACAAATATAACAAAATATCGACCGATAAAAATAATTATTATCTATTATTATTATTATTATCATACACACTCCTTAGAAGTTCTCGAAGGATAATAAACCACGCAACATGAACATTTAGTAAGAACAGTTCACAACATATCATAATGACTAAATCAACATACTAAACAGAAATAATTTATAAATGCATATATACAAAGTAAATCAAGAAATATCCAAAAATTATATAACCAATTTTAAAAAAACTAGAAACCAGTCAACATTTAATGAATAAATAAATAGACATTATTAAAAAGATTGTTCAAAAAGGTACAATTTAAGGCAACGACGAGAATGAAATGTAGTTTGTTTTGTTGGTGTGGTGTTGTGAAGCGAAAACAAACACATCATACAAAACTAGTAAGAAGTCGCAAGAATAAGTCAGTCACCTACCTATAATAAAATTACTCTCAGGGCCCTAGCTTACTTATAAACATTGACTCAACTCACCTACCTACAAATTGTATTTCCCGTTTTAGATGTTTCAAGTATTTTATTTAATATATTTTAGCGTTTTTATTTTACTTGAAGCTTTTTAACTAATGTTAAGCCCTTGCCTACCTACAATTGTTTAACTCATCTCAGTCCCTAACTTACCTATGAATTAAATTAAAGTCCGGTTCACGGTAAAGAAAATATAAAGTTGAAGAGAAACATAGCAACAACGACACCGAATGAATGGATGTTGTGTATGTATGTGTTGTATTGATGTGTGTGTATGTAAATGTGCGGGCGCGCACTCTCCAGAAACTTCACTCACTACCGACGAACCTCCATTGCACCGACCATCATCTGACACGCATCGATGGAATGAATTTGACCGGATACTGAAAAATAAATTGAAAAAAAATTAATTCACTAAAATAAAAAACAAGCAATTGGAAAAAATAGGCAACTTATCTTTTTGAGATAACACTCAATCTTTGTTCAAATTTGAGTACTTTCAAAGGTACAATGAGACAAAAACAAATTTACCTTTAACATTATCTTCGATTTGTCATCGGAACGATCATCGTGAGACCACCATCTGAAACGTGCTGACGCCCACCACAGCCCACCTCTCATCATTCTGTAGACAAGTTTTTATTAAATAGCGAAGTAGTAAATCAAGAAACAAAGGAACGAACGAATAAATGATTAACTGAATGATTGGTTGAATGAATTAACTAATTAATTAATCAATCAATGATTTAATGAATGAATAGAATGAATCAATGAATCAATTAATGGAGGAATAATTTTAAAGATAGTGATAAAATGCATGAATGAATGAATGAGAAAAATAAAAAAAGAATCTAAACCATACTTCAAAAATCGTCCTTGTTGTTTTCTTCGAATTGTCATCGGAACGTGCTGACACCCACCACATCCCACCTCTCATCATTCTGTAGAAAAGTTATTTTTATTAGCTTACTAGTAAATCAAGGAACAAAGGAACGAACGAATAAGTGATTAACTAAATAATTGGTTAATAAAATGAATGAAAAGAATTAAAGTCAATTAATGGAAGAATATATTGAAAGATTGAGTGAAAAATGAAAGAATGAGAAAAATAAAAAAAACGAAACTAAACCTTACTTCAAAAATCGTCGTTACTTTAATCCATTGCACCGACCACCACATTCAGATCGGCACAAGATTTCATCCGAACTTCTGAGTGTCAGTCGAACAGCCAACGCGCTGATTCTTCCTACACCACATAATCATACGTAAATCATCATGGGACCACCATCCGAAACGTGCTGACTCCCACCACTGCCCACCTCTCATCATTCTGTAGACAAATTTTTTTTATTAGCGTACTAGTAAATGAATGCTAGAATCTTAGAAGCAAAAAATCATAAAATGGAAATAATGACAAAATAATATCTGAAAATAATAAAGAGATTAAAAAAAACTTACCGTCGTCCATTCGACAAAAGCAGAATGATGAATGCCTTCCGGTCCCTAAGTTGTCCTCCAAATCTGGTGCCAGCTCGTGGGATGGAGAGAAAATTCTCATCAGGAAGCTTAGCGGTGCCTGCATCTCAAATTGCTTAATAAAAATAATCCTATCTACCTATTCAATTACCTTAACTAATCTATATTAAATTGTTAATGGTACGATAGTCGAAAGTCCCCCTTCATTCTCCCTCCTTGCACAGAGGTTCACCGATAGCCAGGGCACCGGATAGTAAACCATTGCCGTGCGGATAGTAGACTATTGCCGTGCGGATAGTAAACCATTTGCCGTCCGGATGCCGTGCGGGTAGTAGACTATGGCCGTGCCGCATAGTAAATCATTACCGTGCAGATAGTAAACCATTGCCGTCCGGATAGTAAACCATTGCCGGTTCACCACTGGCCACCAAGGCTTACCTCTGACAAGAGACTTCGAAATTCAGAGTCTATCGGCTATCGTACCCTCAACTTACCTATTCATTACAATTAAGCCCTAGCTTACCTAAAATTACAAAACTCAAGAGCCCAATTCATTGGCCAATCGGCACCCACCCCACCACCTACGTAATGCCTTGGGCTCCAACTTAGTAATAATAATATAAAACTTAAACCCTAAACCTATTAATGAGTATGTGTTACAACGTAGTCTTAACCTACCTATTCATTACATTAGGGCCCTAGCTTACCTAAAATTACAAAACTCAAGAGCCCAATTCATTGGCCTTTCGGCACCCACCCCACCACCTACGTAATGCCTTGGGCTCCAACATAACAATAATAATGTAAAACTTATAATTAACCTACCTATCGATACACTTACAGCGTTTTATTTTACATTACAAGATTGTTCCTAGAATTACATTATTGCCCTTAACTACCTATGAAATTATATTACTCTCAGCATTAGTAATAATAAATTAGAATGTGTAATGAAAATAAAATTACGCTCAATACTAACATATGTGTTTATGTATATATTTGTGTGTGTGTGATACGCTGATGCGTGTAATGTGGTTGCAAGAAAAAAATAGAAGCGATAAACTTACGCGCCTACCTATTCAACTACATTAGTGTTGGATGCTTCCTATCTATCCTACCTACAATTAAAATTATCCCTATCTAACCTACCTATATAGCTACTTATGTATTTATGTGTGTGTGTGTGTGTGTGTGTGCGTGTGAGCATTCTTACTTAATGTTAAATTACAGAGAAAAACAGAGAAAAAAGAATAAAACGTATCCCAGCCAGGCGTGTATTCTTTGCCACTGAATGAATGAACGTAGCCTGACATCCTCGATGAACTCCTCTGGAAGCTTCAACCTGAATGAAATGAATAAAATAAAAAAATCTTTATTTATTTAATTAATTTCAATAAAAATAGAGAAACGAGCCGCGGTGAAACTTGCCAGCCGGAAAAGCCAGCCAACTGGCAAAGAAAGGGACCGCAAAGAAACCGTAAAACGAACCCCAGCCAGGGATGCATTCTTTGCCACTGAATGAACGAACGTAGCGTGACATCACAACCATTCTGATCTTCCACTATGAACTCCCCTGGAAGCTACAACCTGAATGAATGAACCTGAATGAACCTAAATGAATGGAAAAATCATATTTATTTAATTAATTTAAATGAAAATAAAAAAACGCAAAAAAGCCGACCGGTCGGCAAAGAAAGGAACCTCAAAGAAAGGTATCTATATAGGATTTATGCTCTATATAACTCTATATAACTCTATATAACTCTATATAACTCTATATAACTCTATATAACTCTATATAACTCTATATAACTCTATATAACTCTATATAACTCTATATAACTCTATATAACTCTATATAACTCTATATAACTCTATATAACTCTATATAACTCTATATAACTCTATATAACTCTATATAACTCTATATAACTCTATATAACTCTATATAACTCTATATAACTCTATATAACTCTATATAACTCTATATAACTCTATATAACTCTATATAACTCTATATAACCATGCATACTACCACATTCAATCAATAAAAATCCCACTAAAACCAGGAACCACCACGTACCTGCTGAATGTATGATGTGAAACAAAACAAAAAAAAAACACAAAACAAAAATCACACCACCAAGTAGAGTAAAAGAATAAGAGTCCTTAACCTACCTATGTAACTAAATTACCTTATGCCCTAGCCTACCTATATAATAAATTACTTTTTACCTCACCTACCTATGCTTCATTAACTTAACTCAAGACTCATGAAGAAAGAGAAAAAGGAGTAAAACAGAACATAAAATACTACCACACAAACAAACATGATGTATGTATGTATGTATGAGCATTGAGCAACCGTTAAAGAACCCACCTAAAATTAAAAAAAATACCACCTACAAACATTCAAACCACCTACAAACATGCAAACTCTATATAACTCTATATAACTCTATATAATAAAATAAATAAAAATAAAAAAAATTTAAAAATAAAATAAATGAGATCAGACAGACTGCCTCAAGTGAGGCAGAATGCTGATCTGATTTTCATGTTGTCTCAGCTCCTCTATTTATACTCGTTTCAACCATACATTCTCATCATTTCAATCATTCGCATCAGTAAAAAACTTGTTTAATGTATATACTGCACTATTATACAGTCTTAACCACAATGCTAACCGTACTAAATTGAAGTCATCGAACGAACGCCTTTGAAACTTTCTGGTTGGCTGGTTGAATCTGCTATATTGCTTTTCATATAAACATATAATCTAATATAATGTAATTTAATTATTTGTATACATGGATTCTAGTCACTTTATATATATATAATAAAAATTCATTATAAAAGCAACAGTAATCAGTGCTATATATGTAAGCACGCAGTTCAAATTTTTCGGGGAGAACTCAAAATTGTTTGAGACCACACCTTGCTTAACATCCAATTCCAAGCCGAGCCAAGCCATGCTGAGCCAATATGCATAAATTCATTATAAAAAACAACAGTAGCCATTACTATATATGTACGCACACAGTTCAAATTTTTCTGGGAGAATTCAAAATAGTTTGAGACCACACCTTGCTTAACATCCGATTCCAAGCCGAGCCAAGCCAAGCTGAGCCAATATGCATAGATTTATAAGCGCTTTTATGTTAATATTTTGTTCGCTATATTTATATATTTTATAAATTCATTATAAAAACAACAGTAATCATTGCTATATATGTACGCACGCAGTTCAAATTTTTCGGGGAGAATTCAAAAAAGTTTAAGACCACACCTTGCTTAACATCCGATTCCAAGCCGAGCCAAGCCAAGCTGAGCCAATATGCATAGATTTATAAGCGCTTTTATATTAAAATTTTGCTCGCTTTTTAAACGAATATCCCAATATAACAAATTCTCCATCCTATTTTAACTTTCTTTGATGCTTTTTAATCAGTCAGGTCACAAAAGTCATTATCGATATCGCAATGAAATCAGTTTGAAATTTTTTTTAATTATTGATAAAATTTTTAAATTGTTGATAAAAATAACTAGTATATATAGTGTAGTAAAACGTTTAAAATTTCTTAGAGAATTCAAAATAATTTGAGACTACACCATAACACAATTGTACAATTTGAATGTGTAAATACATTATAAATGTATTATAACTAGGTACGTGTACATATCTATTTCTTTATTTAGTTATATGGTTACAATCATAATATGCTTAAAATACTGTTCTATAAATCAAAAATTAATTACGAATATTACGCTATGTTTAAAAAATTAATTAAATAAATTCACATATATTTAATAAAAAACTACCAACTACGTAAATTTTCACAAACTACTACATTTTCGAGATTTCTGGTTTAAAGCATAAACTGCAAAGCTTAAATTAAATTGTCTATGAAGTAAAACGAGACTCGATTGTAATTGTATTTTCGCACAAAATTCATTAAAATTTAAAGTAATTAAACTTAAAAACATTTTTTTAAATTGCGATACATTTAGAAATATATTTTTTTAAATAAGAATTAGGGAAACGAAATTTCAATTTTATAAAATGGCCGACACAGAAAATGACGGACAGTTCATCAAATACAACGGTCCTGTAGACTGTGTTCATTATCCAGTTCAAGTTTTATATTGCCCGCCAGATGGTAGATTTTATTATATACTATTTCATTCATTTATTAAAAATTTGTAATTTTTTAAAGTAATTTAGGTTAGGATTAATAATTTAGTTTAATTTTAATATTTTATTAGGAATTAATAATTAATTTTAGTGGTTTTTTAATTAGTTTTTAATAAAAAATTAAATAAATTACTTTTTATTTGTTTTTTATTAAATAACTTTTTCTTTTTTTATTATGTAAATTCATAATAAACAAAGGTTATCTATTTTTAAAATATTTTTCAGTTGAATATTTCTTAAATAAAATAATTTTTGGATTATTTTAATTAAACAGTCTGCGACGGATGGCCTCTTGAAGTTAGTTTTCTCAGTGTTATTATTATTAGTAGTAGTATAGCAGCAATATTAAAGTGGTCACAGCAAAAGCAGTAACCTATTCAAGATCTTCATAGAATAAAAAATTAAAATATACTTTAAAAATAATGAATTTTTAGTTTTAGTTGTTCAGAATGTAATTATTAATATTAATGTTTAATCTTTTGTGATAAGTTAATTTCTTATTGATTGAATCGTAGTTGATTAAATAGTTATTTTAATTAACTTTAATTAATTTGAAACCCCATTTAAGTATTGTGAGTATCATCCTGCTTTTGAAAAAGCAAAAGAATGGGTCGAGAAAAATCTTTCAGAAGATGTCAAAGAACTACTAATAGGTACATCTATACTACTAAATTATTAATTAATTAATTAATTAATCTAATTTGCATGAACTTATATAATAACTAATTCATAACTAAATTAATATTTATTATCGTTGGCAACTTAGACTCAACTGCTGGTGAAAGTGGTGACAAAAAGAAGAGGCAGACGAGAGGAGGTAAGGCCCAGATAAAAACGAAACAAAAACAAGACGTCGAGAAAAAGATTACACTATCAAGGTCCTGTCGGGGTAAGAAAAAGTTCGTCACTGTCGTCTCCGGCCTATCTACCTATGGTACCAACCTTACTGTTACATCTTTGTTGCTATTGTTATCATAATTATTATTTAAATTATAATAATATGAATCATAATAATATTTAGTAATAATATGAATAATTAATAATAATATTCGTTATAATTATATCACAACCCAATCATAGAGATAGATTTGAAAGTTGCCAGTAAGGCGTTCGGCAGTCGATTCGCTTGTGGTAGCTCTGTAACCGGAGACGATGAAATTGTTATTCAAGGTTAAGTTTTTTTTTGTTATCTTTGTTGCTAATGTTACTTTTATCGTTGTCGTCACTACTGCTGCTGTTGTCTCTGCTTCTACGGCTTCAACTCTACTACTACTTCTATTACTACAACTTCCACTATTACTATTGTTATTACTGCAGCTGCTACTGCTACCGCTTTTATTACTACTACTTCTTCTGTAGCTACTGCTGTTTATACTTAACGTAGATTATCAATAATGATATTAAAAGATCATTTGATGAGTTTTTTTTTGTTTTATTAAACCAATAAAACCCGGAAATTAGGCGACATCAAAGACGACTTGTTCGATTTCCTGGTTGAAAAGTGGCCCCAAATAGACGAGGACACCATTGAAGATCTCGGCGACCAGAAGAGGTGATGATGATGAAGGCGACGACGACGATGACGATGATGGTGGGGGTTTTGAAAATAATGATGGTGATTACAATGATTATTATCGATTCTTGCGTTGGTTGGTTTTTTGGTAAATTTGTAAAAATTGAAGGTTTGAGTCAAAAACGAGAATATTTTTCATTGTTGTTTTTTATTTTATTATCAAAAAATGAAACAAAATATTTAATTATACGAAAAAATGTATATATATATATGTATATATATATATATATATATATGTATGTACAATTATTCATAACAATAACAATGTTTACAATTGAATAAAACAATTCTTACGTACAATTAATGTACGGCAATATGTACAATTAACGCACTGTAATATCATGTAAAATTAAGTACTGTAATATTATGTACAATTAAATACTGTACAATTAGGTGCAATTGAAAAGTAAACGAGGATTATATACAATAGTTACAAAGATGGCAAAACGTTCAATGGTCATCTACGATTCTCCAAGAATGCTGCTGATGCTGAAGTTTAATTTTTTCTTCGGTGCGCCAGTGACGTCATCGTCCTCCATGTCGTAGAACAGCTTGCGCTTGACGCGTTTGTTTTTAAGAATTCTTGAATGAAATCCGGAATCTCTGGAGCGTTCTTTCTGGATGTTCATCTTTACGGAGGACGATGTTGGGAAGTGGTTGTTGTTGTTGTTGCTGTTGTTGTTGCTGGCTGTTGTTGATGCGTCCAAACCGCTATCGTTGTTGAAGCTGCTGCTGATGTTGTGGTTGCTGAAGCCGTTGATGTTATTGTTGCTGAAACTGTAGTTGAAATTTTGGCTGTTGTTGAAGTTACTGTTAAAGCTGTTGTCGCTGTAACTATTGGTATTAATGTAATTGTTGTTGATGTTGTGACTGCAGTTCATGATGTTGTGACTGTTGTTGATGATGTTGTAACTGTTGTTGTTGTTGTTGCAAATGTTGTTGATGTTGAAACTATTGTTATGGCTGATCGGCTCCCTGAATGAGGGAATAATATATGTGCTACGTGGTTTAGATTTCCTGAAAAGTTTTGAAACACTAAATGGCGTTGAAGTTGCTGTTGATGCTGTTGTTGTTATTGATGTTGTTGGGTCATTTATGACATCAACTTCTTCATCTGCTGATTCTTCGTTACTGTTAACCAGCAGACATAACTCATCGTTGAATTCTTGTTTAATTGGTCTCGTTTTGAAATTAATGTAACAGTTATTGTCGTCGTCGTTAGCGTCATCCTCGTTGCTGTAATCTAAATGTTCTCCCTTTATGGTAAATCTGTTGTTGATGTCGTTGTTAAGGTTTTTAATGTTGTTGATGCTGTTTACAGTAGTGGTAGTAGTATTATCATTGTTGTTGTTTGCGTTGCCTTTGTTTACGTTAATGACGTCATTGCTGTTGTTGTTGATGAAGTTGTTGTTGTACAAGTAGTTGTTATCTGGAAAATTAAAACTGGTAGACGGGTTGAATGCTGCGGCCCTACTTGGATCGAAGAGTTGGTGACCTAAGAATGGGTTAGGAAGGTTGTTGTCATTGTTGAGAACGTAGTCTCTGAAGTTGATGAAATTGTTGGTTGTGGGTGGCGCGTTTGGCGGTTGTGAAATGACGTCTTCGTCGTTGCTGATGTTGTAGCGATTGCTTTTAATTTTTTGATTATTGTTGTTTTTATTGATGTTATTGTTATCAACTTCTTCTGAATTAGTATTGCTGCAACTAATATTCGCATTGATGTTGAAATCTTGTGGTGGTTGTTGTGGAGAGTGCACTTGACGACGAGAGGCAGGCTTAGGTTGGTACCTTATCGGAGAGCCACTGCAATTTTTTGGGGGGTTGGCCAGACAGGGCCTGCCGGGTCTCTTCTTCGTGTGCTCCATGCGACGTTGTTTGGCGCGTCTGTTCTGGAACCAGATTTCCAGCTTGTTCTGGCTGATGTTCAGTCTCGTTGAGAGTTCGTTTCGAAGCTGCTTGCTCGGGTAGTGGTTGTCGTTGTTGAAGCACGCCTCCAACTGCTGCTGCTGCCAACTGCTCAACAAGTTTTTGTTCACGTTGTTGTCAATTATCAAGTTTGTTGATGTTGCTGTTGCTGATGATGATGATGTTTGTTGTGGGGGTCGTGTGAGGCCGAGAAAGCTTTGATGGGGATGTTGCTGTTGCAGCTGCTGTTGTTGCTGCTGCTGCTGCTGGAAGCCAGTAAAACCTGTTTTATTGAGGAAAAACATTATAAGATTTTAATTCACAGATTCAAAATAGACTAGACTTAAACGCTCGATGGTAACTAAGTTCGTTCTCAAAATATTTTTTAACTCTCACAATTTCGCAGTTGACTGATAAACCCACCACGTAGCTATATATACTACAAGACTACAGCGTTATAAACCAGATTAACAAAAGTAAATCAATAAAATCAATATGAAACTAATATTAGGTGTGAACTAGTTTCAATAAGTTTTCATCTTACGGAATAAAATCCTTTTTGTAAAACATCTAATTGGCAATACTATACATATCGTAAGTTGAAAATCAGTAATAAAGTGAAAAAGGCGTGAAGTGATATTTTTATTAGTTCACCCCTGTGACTATCTAAACATCAATCTAATTGTTTGATCTATCTTAATTGGTACCTTTAGGCTCTTAATTGGTACCAAGAGGTGCGAAATTTGACACCTTTATACATTCAATAAAGGCAGCAAAGTGAATTCGCTAATAAAGGTTTTCAATTGAATTGTTGAAGTTAACAAATCAATAAAATTAGCTGGTGGTTTAAACGCTACTACAACTACTGCCACTACTGCTACCACTACTACTACTGCCACTTCTACTGCTGCTACTGCCAGCACAAAAACTACTACTACTACCAATTATAATGCTTAGTATTCTAAAAACTTTCTTAGTAAGAATAAAAATTTAGTTTTGAAACGAAGTCTAACCTGGTTGATTGGAGTTTCCTGTTGGCATCCAAAAACCAGGTTGATGAATGTTGTGCACGAGTTCATTTTGAAGATGAGGGAGTGCAAAAGATGGTCTCACTTGTTGTTGCTGTAATACATTGAAATTCCTGTTAGAATATTGATCAGACATTATCAAATTTGAAATTAATACAAACTGGATAAAAATTATTATAAAAACAATTATTTCAAATAAAATGTTTGAAATAATTGAAATTAGAAATTCTTGCAGTTGAGCAGGCTCTTGATTTATAGATGTTGGTGGATAAAGTTTTTACTCCTCCAGTAATTATTATTATATAACAATAGTATTGTGTATAATTATTTTTATCTGCAGTCTATTTTCCACAATAAGAGCTATGGCAGTTCTATCCTAAACCAGATTCAAAGTCGTTCCAAAGGCCTTGCTTGGGAATACAGACTTCTCTAAAAATATACAAAACCAAATGTATCACTTTCAGAAATTGATTTTTAAAATTTTCAACACCACAATATATATATACCTGACACCTCATTTCACACATATTCACAATTTTATTAGGAAGCCTTATTAGTAACTGTTACGACTTAAGCTCTGGATGGATTGTAAACGTTTGAACGTTTTATTACAACCGTAACACATTGATTATGCCAATTAAAAAACCGTCTTTATTCAAATTTTTTCTTATCATTGTAAAATAATAAATTATAATACAATATATTATAGTGTTATAATATGATATACTATTTGTAGAATAACGATGGAAATGATATTTAAATTTACTATTTTTAAAATCATTGCACAAATATTATATTATAATATACTAATATTATGATGAATAATAATTAAAGTAATAAATGATATCATATTAATACTTTTTCTGTAATTCTAGTAATTTTGGTAAGTGTTAAATGATTGGCTGGTCAAGTTGATGGTCCACAATATGGACTGTTCCTATTGGTCACGTTTTACGACTAACTAATGATTTTATTGGACGAACGGTTTTGAATTTTATTAATTTTGTTTTTTTCAATTTTATTGTTAACAATTTTTTAATTAATTTTTAACACTTTAATAATTGTATTAGTCAAATTTTTTCGAAAATAAAAGTTTCGCATTGTCATTATTGTTCGTAATTTAGTTCTGGCTTCATTTTATTATATTGAAAAAATCAATTTAATTCTTTAGAATAATAAAAAAAACTTTTAATAGTGGGTTTCTTGCTCTCTCTTTCTCTCTCTCTCTCTCTCTCTCTCTCTCTCTCTCTCTAATATAATATTTAACACAAAATAGTTATGTGATGGACGGCCCGTGGTTATAAACGGTTTGAAAGTTGAACGCGAAACTTTCTTGTAATAAATTAATCTCATCTTATATTGGTGACCTGTTTTTTAGAGTTTTATCCTCTAAATACGCCTTTTACTTAATAATATTATGCTATAATAATACTATTAGAACTACTAGTGTTTGTGTGTGTGTGCGTGCGAGTGTGTGCGTATGTGTGCAGATTCTTCCGAATATATCAACTTACACAAAAATTGAATAAATTAAATGACTAAAATAACGTAGAAATGTCTTCTTCTTTATCGTGCCTTATCCTTTCGAGACATTGGCAACCATCGACCTCCACAAAACTCGAACTTTAACACTTTGTAGAAGTTGAAATGTGCTGATATTCAACAAGCGGCACAAGGACTTTACGAATGTTGTTCGTTGTTGACCGCGACCTCTTCTCCCTGCAATCTTTCCAGTAGTTGTTAGATTTGTAGAAATGTACAAAGGCATGAAACGTAAAACAACGAGAAGATGAAACTCGGAATTGTTGATAGAAACACCCTTTCCCCCACCAGCACACTACTCAGCTGGCTATTTGGTGGCCTAACTAACATCAGTTGGACTGTTGGAACTGCCAAATTTCCAATCTATGTTGCGAACGAACTCCAGTTTGGCTGACGATCAAATCAGAAATCAGACGTTGTTGATCAAGCATTTTTTTTATTAATGTTCTTTTGTCCTTTAAAAAATCAGAACCTGACAGGCGTAGAAACTGTTTTAACTTAACAGGACATAACAGAAATTAAATAAAGGGGTGAAAATGTTTAAGTATGAGTGGATGGAAAATTAAATAACGAATTAAAATAACGAATAATTAGAGTAATCGTCATAGGCAAAAGGATAGGCAAAATTAAACAAATGACAAATATTCATATCGCCAGGTTTCATTCAAGAATTATTTAGTTGAACCTTTCCCTTCACTGCGTACCTTATACAGATGGCATCATTGATGTTATTGTAGTAGTAGTGAAAGCAGCAGTAGCAAAGCGGTAGTAGCAACAGCACCATGTGTAGTAGTAGTACTAGAAATAGTCGTAGTAGTAGTTGTTGTAGTAGTTGTTGTAGTAGTAGTAGTAGTAGCTGTAGTAGTTGTTGTTGTAGTAGTAGCAGCAGCAGCAGTATTAGTAGTAGTAATCATGTGATTAGTAAGAAATGAACTGATAATTACAATACAATAACGGTAAATAACTGTTTCTTATGTTAAAAGAAGTAGCCACAGTAGCAGCAGTTGTAGTAGCAGCAGCGGTAGTGCTAGCAATGGAAGTACCTACTGGGTGTGGTAGTAATCACATTGTTAGTATAAAGTAACTTCAAAAATATATTATTTTAACGGTTCAGCACAAACATTCTTTTTAATAAATCCATCCAGTCTCTTTTTCTTGCAGTGTTATCTCTAGTACCTGATTAATGATGATGATGACGACGACGACGATGATGACGATGAAGAAGATGATGACGGTAATAATAATATTAATAATATAAACAATATAAATAATACTAATAACCAAACACTCAACAAAATGTCATTCAAACCCACGTGTCAAACAGTAACGGAGTTTACAACGTTACATGCATCCATCCGTTACATAATAACGGTATGTCATTCGGTGCTCATATGTATGTATGTGTGTGTGTGTGTCTATGTAAGTATGTATGTGTGTGTGTCTATTTATGTATGTGTGTATGTATGTAAGTGTGTGTGTGTGTATGTTTGTATGTAAGTTAAAACCAAAACATGACGAATGACACTGAACAGTCAAACATCAAGTAACAAATGGGATTAACACTTTGATTTGTCGTATGTATGTGTGTATGTATGTATGTGTGTGGGTATGTATGTGTGTGTATGTATGTGTGTGTGTGGGTATGTATGAATGTATGTGTGTGTTGGTGTTTATGTATGTGTGTGTATCTATGTGCATTTTATGTATCTGAGCATTTGTTTGCGTACCGTTATTATGCAACAATACAACGTAACTCTATTAATTCCCTTAGTGTTTGACAAGGCCTACCAACTCGATTGACATCTCGTTAGATGTTTGGCTATTAGTTTTATTTTCGTAGTGATTAATGTTTGTCATTCTGATTACTGTTTTGAATTGTTTATTGTTTAGTTGCTGCTGTTTTGTAGTATTGGTAGTAGTAGTAGTAGCAGCAGTAGCAGTAGTAGCAGTAAGAGTAGTAGTAGTAGAAGCGTTTGTATTTTTTGCGATTAATTGATTAATAAAATCAATAAATTTGCATAATAATTTCAGATTTCGCATAAAATATTTAAGACTTTTATGATTTCTAAAGTAAAATAAATTCATTTATTACAAAAAGTGTTAAAAAACTCGCAATATTGAATAAAACTAGGGAGTCAAAATCGTACCCTCTAATAAATTAATCACCCAACACCATATTGTTAACCGTTAATATTTTTACGATCCAATCACATCATACCAACCAAATTCAACCAACCAATCGCCTAACACTTTGGAATACTTTCCACCAATAAAATTAACCCTTTACATTCCATCCACCAATAAAACTCACGCTCAGAATACTTCCCACCAATAAAAAATCACTTTTACAAAACACTAGTAAAGGTTTTAAACTCTAGTATCACTAATAAAGGTATCAATTCAACAGTAAAGGGAACGGGTTTGTTGTAAAAATTTGAACTCGACGCGGATTATAAATTGACATTTTCAATCAGTTTGACTTGTAATAAATCCGTTATAGATTTACGATTGCAACGGCTCTACGTACTACGATTTTTATGACCCGCTTAATGACGTCACACTGAGTTCTAATGTGTGAAGTTTCTTAGGTATATAAGGAGAAGTGTTAAAATTCTATTCAATCAAACACCTTTCGAAATTTGTTTCCTTATTAATTTTTTCTCGCAATTGTAGATACACTATCAATTACTGTAGATACACTATCAATTATTGTCGATACACAATCAGATATTGTCGATACACTGTCAGTTTTAAGAAGCATTTCAACGATATCTTTGGGATTTTTCAAGAGATTTGAAAAGAAGCTGAAGAAATTGAAGAATTTGATTCAAATTAGATTGAATGAAACTTATCATTCAAGTTTTGAAATTCAATTAACACACGCACAAAAACATACATATCAGCACATACACACACACACAAATATACACATACGCACATATTTTATAATATAATAACATAATTTAGATTTAGATAGAGTCAAGAGTGAAAAACAGCAACTTCAATTGCGGCGAAGACTGGACTAGAGAAGATTCTTCATACTTTTATCAATTGATTTAATTAAAATATTAACAATTTTAATATTAAAAATTATTTCATTCATTATAATATTAATAATTTCATATTCAATAATGTCTAATCGAAATTTTTACCAACATTTCACTCCAGGTACAAATCCGCAGCAACCACAACATCCACAACCACAACATCCTCTGCAGCAGTTGGTGAGACCATCTTGTGCCTTCTCTCAAGGTCAGAATGGATCCTTCCACAGTTTTTATCCGCCAGCCTTTTGGATGTCAGCTGGAAACCCGAATCAACCAGGTTTGAATGCATGCCATGATTAATTTTTTAAATTATTTTCATCGGAATTGATTTTTAATATTATTACATTTAATTATTAGAGATAATCAATACACTTCCAGCAAGTTGTATTGATTGAACAGCAAGGTACCAATAAAAACTTTTATTAGTCAATTAGGACTATTGATTTGTCAAAGGTGTCAAATTCAGCACCTCGTTAGCACCTACTTTGGTTGAATTAATTAGAGGCAAATAGTTTATTGGGTAGATCCTTATTTGAGATAGTGGTGTGGGCCAATAAATGAGGTCACTCTAGAATCAATACATATTCACCTTGATGATTATTGCCTTCTTTGATATTCTCACTTTGAAGAAACAGTTTTTATTTAACGCTTAATATAAGTTGTTTTGTGGTTTATAAGGGTGAGATGTGATAGAAATTATTTGAAAATTTCAAAATTCTTGAATTCAAAAATAAATTTTTAACATGTTTTCATTCAATTTAGCAGGCTTCAGCAACTACCAACAACACCAACATCAGCAGCAGCTGCCACAACAACATCATCAACGTCATCAACAACAATACTGTCAGCAACAACATCAACAACAACAGCAACATCAACAAAGTTTCCTGGGGCTTTTACAACCCCCACAACAAACATCATCATCATCAGCAGCAGCAACAACAACAGCAACATCAACAAACTTGATAATTGACAACAACGTGAACAAAAACTTGCTGAGCAGTTGGCAGCAGCAGCAGTTGGAGGCGTGCTTCAACAACGACAACCACTACCCGAGCAAGCAACTTCGAAACGAACTTTCAACGAGACTGAACATCAGCCAGAACAAGCTGGAAATCTGGTTCCAGAACAGACGCGCCAAACAACGTCGCATGGAGCACACGAAGAAGAGACCCGGCAGGCCCTGTTTGGCCAACCCACCAAAAAATTGCAGTGGCTCTCCGATAAGGGATCACCCTGAACCCCCCTCACGTCATCAAGTGCACTCTCCACCTCTACCTCCACAACAACAACATCAAGATGATGATAGATCTCAATGTCGTAATCGTGTTGCTGGCAATAACGATGATGAAGCTCACCATAGTTTCAACAGTAGCGTGAACTCTAGAAACGAAAGTGTGACTACTGGAAGGGTTGGTGAGGGCAGTGGGGATAATAAAAATAATTTAACGGGCAATAGCAAAACCGTAAATAACAAGAAATCTACAAGAATCAACATCAACAACAGAAACAACTGTTGCAGCAACAACTGTAGCAACAACAACAACAATGACAACAACACTTTACAATCTGCAAGTACACAACAGTATCAACCAGAAACTTACAATATAGACCCAAGAACTCACATGCACAGCAATAGCAACACGTTAAATCGCAATAACATACTTCAATATAACAACAACAATCACCATAACATCAATAGCAACATCAACATCAACAACAACAACATGTTAAGTTACAACAACTACTACAACTTTTACAACAACTTAGACGACAGAGACTTTTTATTCAGCCATCGAGTTTTCAACCCACACGCTATACCATTCAATCCGTTCAACAGGGCTGGCTTCCAAAACAACATCTATCATAGTGACATCAACATCAACAACAACGACAGCAACAACAGCAGCAGCATTAGCAACAACAGCAACAACATTAGTAACATCAACAACGAAATTTGTAACACCGGCAACATTAACAATGATACTAACGGAGCAACTATTAACAACAACACTATCCAAATTAAACAAGAACCGCTAGATTATGACGACGACAACAACAATGACAACAGCATCAACAACAACAACAACAACAGCAACAACAACAGCAGCAACTTCAATTACAAAAACATCAGAAAAGAATTCGGCGAAAATGAAATCTGCCTATTAGTGGATAGCAAAGAAGACTCCACGGACGAAGAAATTGATGTTTTGAACGATGAAATAACAACAACAAAAACAACATCAGCAACGACATCAACTCCATGCCACTCGGTAAAAACAACACCGCACCGAAAACTCGATCAATCAAGTATTCGACCGAATATATTCGACAACAAAAACACCAACAACAACGACAACAGTTGCTTAGATAATAGCATGACATCAATGCAAAACAGCACATCTATAATGACGTCATCATCAATAGCCGCATCATCATCATCGTCACACAGAAACAACAACAACAGCATTAATAATGATTCAGGAATATATCTTTCATCATCATCATCATCATTAAAAACGTCATCAACGTCAACATCCGGCTGGGGCAAAAAACGTAAATACGCAGAGGATAACAACGATGAAAAGGAAACTTCCGCCATAGCCGAACCAAGGAAAAAATTAAATTTCAGCATCAGCAGCATACTAGGTGGTCTGTAGAGTGTAAAGATAGATATGAGTGAAACGAATCACATCATCAGCTTTTAAAATTTTTATCAAATTGTACATAAATACAAACATAAATACACACACACACACACACACACACAGAATTATATACATACATAATTCATTTGTATATCTCTAATTGTACAAAAATACAAACATACGTACATACATACACAAACAGAATTATATACATACATTATTCATTTGTATATCTCTAATTGTACAAAAATTGAAACATACGTACATACATACACAAACAGAATTATATACATACATTATTCATTTGTATATCTCTAATTGTACAAAAATTGAAACATACGTACATACATACACAAACAGAATTATATACATACATTATTCATTTGTATATATCTAATTGTACATAAATACAAACATACATACATATACACAAACATAATTTTCAACACACACACATACATATATATACATATATAATTAATTTGTATACATTTTTTAACTAACTTTGTATATAAATATACAATTTATCATTTTTTTAACTTATGAATTGTGTATAGAACGTTGTTTAGAAAATAAAATCAGAATTGTTTCAATTTATTCAGTTTCATGATTGTTCAGCATTACTTCTGTATGTAGAATAAATAAGTCAATCAATTAATCAATTAATAAATCAATTAATAAATCAATCAATCAATTAATCAATCAACCAATCAATTAATCAATTAATCAATCAATTAATTAATCAATCAATTAATCAATCAATTAATCAATCAAAATAATATTGAAATAATTATAAATTATAATAGATACATTTTAGAGAAGGAATAATAGAGAATAAAACAAATGAGTCAATCGTTTGTATAGTACTGTCGATACACAGTTGAGGTGTGAATATAATATTTCAAAAGTAAATATATAATGCAATAATATGAGGCATAACGAGGCACAAACACACACACGCACACACACGCATACACATAAGGCACAAATTTATTTATTAATAATACTGCAAATATAATAGCTAAAAGTATAAGATAAATGAATAAATAAATAATAAATATATATTATATACATATATATAATATATATATATATTTGTGTATATATATGAATGGATATATATATTATAAAATTAAAATACCAAACTGAAATATGTGTCGTCTTCAAACTTGAGTACAAATATAGAGCTTCAATAAACAAAGCCGATGTGTAATATACAAAGAAAGGAATACAAAAATGTATACATATATACAAACGCAAACATACATACGTACAAACACACACACATACAAAGATATACATACATACGTACAAACACGCACGCGCACATACAAAGATACACATACAAACACACATATACAAACACATACACATAGGTCGTTACATTAAAAAATGTTTTTTCACATAAATGAGTATAAAGATATAAAAAGATAAAGTTAAAATATGGGTAAAATCTTTAGTTAGGAACTTACGGATCTTAATTACACTAATTTAGAATTATCATCATCATCATAATACACGCCATCCTTATCACAATCCTTCCTTAGTATTTTTATCACTATATCAGTATAATCATTATATTCAAATCTTCATCATGGCTAGCTATATAATCTGAAACGAACACACACACGCACACACACACACACGCGCACACGAACTACTCAAGTTTCGCTTTTAACAGACAGACGACTGCAGGTACTGTTAATGGTATAAGTACTAGCGCTAGTATTATTACCACTGCTGTTGTTGTTATTGCTAACATTACTATTCCCACGGTTTTTTTTCATAATTTTCTGAAAGCTCTTCCTCAGTTTATCACTCCTGGTGCCAGCTGCAGCAGCTCTCTCGCATCCACACGTGCGCAGGTCCTCGCTTAGTGACGTGGGAAAGGCAATTAGGGAATTCTCCGACGACGATTTGGGCAAATTAGGCAGAAGATTTCTTCTGTTGTGGGGGCTGAAGTTGTTACTGGGATCGAAGTTGCTGTTGGGACTGGGGTCGAAGTTGTTACTGGGACCGAAGTTCTTGTTGGGACTGGGGCCGAAGTTGTTTCTGGGCCCAAAATTATTATTGCTATTAGGATCGAATTGGTTGCTGTTGTCTGCGCTCATCTGCAGCGAGAAGGAAGATGGCAGCATGGCGGTTTTGAAGAGGTGGCTGGATAATGGCGGTGGATGAGACGGAAGTGGAATCTGCGTGGGAATAATAATAATGAATAATAATAATAACAATGATCGTAGTAAGAATGGTGAAGACGATCTTTGAATGATTTTTTTGATGAATTAAAACCAGCGAATGATATGCGACATAGTTTTTGTTCTGACTCATGTAGCAAGTATGTTCATGCTATGTTGTTCATACTATGTTCGACTAATAAAAAGTATGAATGAATGAATGAGAGAGTGAACAAATGAATCATTAGCAGACACACACACACCACACGCACGCACACACATACACACGCACGCACGCACACACACACAAACACACACTCGAATGATAGATATCCTTGATGTTAACATTTTAACAAAGAAACAAACAAATAAAATCATTTAATAAAACCAAAAAACAAAATGGCGTCCAAAATAATAATGACGCTCACATTAACTCGAGTATTCACTAATCCTAATCTATCAACGGATTTGCCTCGAGAGCCTATGGGCGGAGACTTGAATGACGGACAATCCGGGCTAAAACTTGGTTTTTCAAAGGGTTGGGGAGGATATAAATAGACACTGGATTTTCCCGCCAATTTCAATTTTAACTGCTGGAAGGACGGTCTATTTTTCGGTTGTGGCAGCCAACATTTATGAATGACATCAAACAAATCTGACGGACAAAGAGCTGGCTTGCTCAAACGACCCCCTTGAAATACAAAACGAATTATCAACTCTGGCGACAAACCGATGTAGGGCTTTTCGCCCTCACTGAAAACTTCCCACATGACCACACCAGCTGACCAGACGTCTGATTTTGAGGAATAGTTACAGCCGTCTAGAACTTCCAGACTGCTTCTCTTGACGTTGACTGATTCTGATGTGTCACCTACGTAACTGTCGTCTACTACTTTTCTTGCTTTTGTGAAGTTGATCAGTTTGACGGTTGCTTTGTTGCTGCTGTGTCTGCTGTTTGGCGGCGGTTCACACATCACAAAACTTTTGGCGGAGAGATTTCGGATGATGATGAATTTTTGTGATTCCAAGTAGGCCATTGCTGAAGTTATCTGTGAGTTTGTTTGCGAAGAAAAAATATGTTCCCTATGTGCAAACAAAATTTGAAATAATCTATGTTGCAATGAAAAAATGACAGCGTACAAAATTATGAATGGCTAACTAAAATTTACTTCTTGATTCTAATTTTAAAAGTCTACAAAAACCACATCTCGAAGTTTAAAAAAACGAAAAAAAAATTGAAAAAAGCAGTCTTCCTACCTGAAAACAGATAGAAAAGAGATTGCAAACATTCTGATCAACATCATTATTCCACAAGGCCTCTTTCAAATTTCTACAAGAAAACAACTCAGTAACTATGAACATTGGCTTGAGTTTGAAACTAACGCCAAGCAATTTGAGAACATTTGCATGGTCTAGCCCAGCCATAACATTGGCCTGATCAACAAAATCGTCATCATCCTCTCTCAAATGGTAATCATTTTTCGCAAACGCCCCACTCACCATCACAGCCACAAAATTCGACTGAGAAGAATTAGGTGGCAAGTTAAAATTAGAACGAGGTGTGAAGTTGGTGAGTTTTCCAATGCAGGTGACTGTCCTGGCCAATTTGTCTCTAATCAAGACATCTTCAGTTAGGAAAATATTTTGCCTGGGTAGTTCTAACGCGGCATCGTAGTCTATGCCGGCAGTTTCGGGGAAGTGAGCGTATTTTAAAGGACGCCTCAACCTTGTAGCCAATATGGATTTGTTATGTTTGAAGTACTCTACCAGGTCACATAGGTACAAAAATGAATAGGTATGATTTTCAATGCAAAAATCTCCAAATGAATTCTCTACAATTGTGTAGTGTAAGACTGAATGTTCAACACTAGAGAGAACTGATAGCATAAAAACGTTTGAATGTTCATCTTCATCGTCGTCATCTACACTTAGCAAAGGTTTGTAAACTATGAAACAGCCATTTTGATTGGAAGATTCTAGAAATAAAGATGCCTGGTGAGGTGATAGCGGTATGGGGTACCACCATGGCTCCTTCGTCTGGTCTTTGTGTCTAGATAGATATCTGTCTGGAATGAAAAGTGGACTTCCATCTTTATCATAGACTAGTGAGATGTTACAAAATGATTTCATCAAATCAGTTTCCTCAGTTGCTTTATCTTCCGGAGATGCAACAATTGTTGATTTCGAACTTGCAGTTTTTGAATCGCGTTCCTTATTGAGCAATGAAGTTATTGTCACATCACTATTTCTGTCCTCCTCACCTGTGTTTATTGTATCCCCAGAACTATTTCCAGAGCTGTTGTTGGGATTTTGTGAACTGGAATTAAGACTAAATGAGTTGAGCTTGATTGGAGGTATACATATCGATAAATCTTTCTCAAACTCGATTAAAAGATAACTTTTAGGCAATACTTTCATATCATCTGAAGAATTTTTATCCAAAAAAGTCTCAGAATATAAATTCGGTCTGGGGTCTAGGTAGGCGTGAGGTGAGGTGCAATTTAGACTTTCATCAATTTGCTTGATGTATTCATAATGTGAATCACTGTACAACCCCTCAGTTAGTTCAGCATCTGAAAATGTTTCTACTTTTTTGTTGTTACAGTTGCCTTGTTTCAGTAGAACTTCTCTTGATAACTCAGATGAAAAATCCAAATTTTTATCCACGCCTCCAAAACTATGCTTCTTCACTGACGTCTTCCTCAACTGCTTTTGTGAGTTATAATTATCTCTATCTAGGAATAATTCATCGTCAGTTGATGTGACGGTTTGGTTTTTAATGATGCTTGCCTCTACTACATTTTTACTCGTCTCCAAAAAAGTGCTGTCATCAGTTGCACCCTGATTGTGAAGAATTTCACTTCTGGGTACCACTTTTTCTTTGGAGTAAGAAGAATTGAAAGGGAATCTTTCCAATTCATAATTCGCATGACTTTGACTGTTGTTCCTGTTAGCACTGCTGCACAATTCAGACATACTGCATATACTAACATTGTAATTCAACTCATTTTCTTCATCATTATTACCGTCATGTCCACTGGAATCTTCATCATTTTTGAATTCTTTACTCTTACACCAAATTTCATCACTGAGATTACTACTGTCATAAGTAGGCTTAATATTTTCATCATGCTTTTGCTTAACTGCAGAAATTGTGGTTGTTGTTGTTGTTGTTAAGTTCTTATCATCTTGTTGTCGTTGATGGTGTAGTTGCAGTTGTTGCTGTTGTTGTTGCTGTTGGAACAGTTGTTGTTCTTGCTGCTGTAGTTGGGACAGTTGTTGCCAGGACACTGGTTGGCAGGACTGTTGTTGTGGCGTCTGCTGCTGCTGCTGAAGCTCGTTTTGCTGCTGCTGTTGTGGTGACAGTGAAAAAGTTGCTGCCACCGGATGATGATGATAAGGAGGAAGAATCAGGTCATCAGGTATCTTGCTATATTTTGTCAATTTCAACTTGTTACCGTCAGCAGGGTATAAACCAGCGTTGTCATGTCTGTCTGAAAATTTGAAGTATTTGTAAGATATGTTTTGAGCCAGGTGTGGCAGATTTTTAGGTTTCGGAGGAACTGGGGGTGGTTTTAGACCCCGAATTTGAGTTTTTCCATCTGCTTTTTGATTAGTTTCAGTTAATTTTATGCTATCATCTTGTTTGTGCGGACTGTTGTTGTTGCTATTTATTGCTATGGTTGTTGTTGTAGTTGGGTTTTCTGTAGAATGCTGTAAAGGATTGGTTCTGTGTAAATGTTTGATTAATTCTCTTTCAAATATGTAGCACGTTTGAAATGGTTTCAACTTGTGTTTTGTATCAAGTTGACTGGTAAAAATCATTCTACCGAAATCAATTTTCCTGACTACGATATCCTCATTTAATTCTACGACTTCTCTACTGCTGGATGACTTAGATGAGGATTTCAGTTTAGAATTACAACACTTCGGTAAGTTTTGTGGCCTGGTATAATTAGAAATATATTTACTAGCTAGTGTAAAGCCTATAGTTTTTTTAGAACTGTTGGTTAGGTCAAGTTCCTTTGGATATTCAAATGTTTCGTTTATACCGTCTTCTTTTGAATTATCTAAAGTATCTGAAGAGTTTACAAATTTCCTCTTGTTGTTAATCATCTTACTCACTTCTTCCCCAGTCACATCTGTCGAACTATTGTCCGTTTCAATCAGGTTGTCATTCATTTCACGTTTAACTTCACTTTCATACAAATTATAAATTGGTTTATAGTAATAAGCTAGAACCTCAAGAAAACTTTGAAAAACTTTGTCACTTTTTTGCTCGAGTTTGTCCAGAAATAGACTAGCCTGATAATCTAGACTAGGGTTTGTGCATGTAGTAACCTCTAAAAAATCATGTTTGTGTGTTTCATCTATGTTCATGGCCTGAACAATACTAAAAACGTCTAATTCTTTCACTAATAATGTTCGACACGTTCTTAAAAATCTCCTGTCTCTATCATTCAGCAGCAGGTTGCTGCCACTTTCACTGCAGTTCATTTTTTTATTGAAAAATGGCATTTTGCAGTTTTTGTTTCACTGGGTAAATATTTAATAAAAAGATAATAAAATTGTAGATAAAACAATATATTAAAATACCAATAAATAATCAATTAATTAATTTTACATAAAAAAATTAAATTGAAAATTATTAAAAAGTGTGAAAATAAAAGCAAAAATAATTCTAACTGACACAGCTGAGGGCAGAAATTAGTGGCAGGACAGGTAGACAATTTTTTTAAATTTTCACTAAAAAACAGGCAAATTTAAAATACTTGAAAACGCAAAAAAAAATTTATTTATTTTAAAACGTATCTAAAAATAGAATGGCGAATTACTGAAAAAACTTGATTTAAAATCGGAAAAAAGTTGATTCGTAAAATATTAAAAGTGAAATCCATAATTAAAAAACCCAGCAAAGACATTTAATCAATTTTTGCATTCTATGTTTGATACAAACATTTGTAATGTTGTATATATATATATATATATATATACATGTGCATGTTTATACATAATTTGTATATGAGTATGTATGTAATTTGTATATAAGTATGTATGTAACTGTATATTTGTGTATATATATATATATATATATATATATATAGTTTTTAAATATATAATGCATAAGTATGTAAAGATATAGATATGTACATTGTTAAAGTAATATGTGTAGATTAAGATATAGATAGATATCCAATTCATGGAATAACGACAGGGAAAGGATGTCGCTTGAAAATTGGCAGCTGATTGCGAACTGTACTGGGATGTCAAAAAGAAGTTGATAAATGGAGCCAGCTCGAATGA